ACTTCGGACTGTACCAAAGTCGATCATCTCACTACATCCTAAAGGCCAAGTTGGTCAAGTAAAGGGTTCTAGAAGTTCATTAGTGCTTCATGACATCACTCAGCGGCCCCGTATTCTCTTTGATTGACTCAAAGGCTACTGGTACTCACAAATATGTCACACTAACATAGCTATTTCTTAGACCATGTCGGTATACCCCGCACAGTTTCCACAATGTATTTCTATTTACCTATAATGTTTCCTAAATCCGGGTGGAGGATTCAAACCCAAACAAAGAACCATAATATAAAGCAAACAAGTCAAACAAAATGTAAGCAAATAAATGTGATCTAGCCCTAAGGTAACCCCACTTTTATAATATCCCCAGCAGATTCGCCAGTTCTGTGATACGGTGGGAGAACTGACTTGAGGGTTTTGTGTTTTATCGCAAATGTTGCAGTTAGCAAGAGTCGCCACCGACTTTTCTTTTATCCAAAAGGAAAGGTGAAAAAGCACAGGAAAGACCTTTATGATGTTTTCTTGAGTTCGGGGGGGTAGATTATGAAAAGGGAAGGTATTAGCATCCTTTTCATCCATGATTTTCCATGGGCTCTTAGTTACTTTCTCAGATCACTTGCTTTTGGTTTGTTTGAAATTGTGTTTGGTGTAGTTTTGAAAGTATTTTGTAAAAGAGGCCATTCGTTTAGGCAATATTTGTAATTATTCTCGTTCGTAAGAATGTATACAAAGATGTTTGTCTTTTGGAAATGTTTTCAATATTTGTAAGATGTTCTTGAAATGTGTGTGTTTGTTTTGAAAAATAGCAAGGATATTTGTTTGAAATTAGAGCAAGTTACTAGAAGTAATCTATCTACTCAACGTCTTTCTTATGCATTTTCTATTCCTTTGACATTGTTGTCTTACCATTAATTTGGTAAGCAACCTTATCTTTGGATGTAAACGGGACGGGTGTGGGTCATCGTATAACCGTGATTAGCAATGTTTGCAAAGTATCTTAGCATTTTTGAGGGACCAGTATCATTTTTGTGAGGCAACTTAGACTAGCGTCATCGAGGGACTATGATCTTATATTTGTTTGTTTTGCCAAGATACTTCGCATGCGTAACATGGCTACTTTTGTATAAGGAAACCAAGTGGAGAAACCCTAAGGATTCTTGTGTGCAAGTGTATCATTTTCATGCTTTGGTTTTATCTTGTATTTGGGGTTTTCTATTTTTGCTTTGTTTTGATCTTATCATACAAAACCCCAATTACTAATCATGGCATGTAAAGCGGTAAATTGCGTAATGTAAATATTACTAGGCTATTACAACAATTTTATGGGAGAGGGGAATATAAGTTTGAATGGGGATTACAAAGAAAATAAAGTCCTAAATTACTATTACAACCATATTGAAATGCATAAGAATGTACAAGGAAATATGAAATGAACTTGTTTTGTTTTAAGAAAATATTTTTGGTCTTTTGCTTTAAGAAATAGAATAAAGTGTGAAAGAAATGTTTTTTATGTTTACTGGTTAATGGAATAGAAAATGATAGCAAAATAATGAGAAAAGGAAAAAGGAATCAGCGTATTGCTGATTAAACGAAATCAGAGGTTCTGGCCTTGGCACGCTGCAAAACAGAAACATGTTAGTGAAAATGTAAAGGGGTCAGAAGTTCTGAACCCACTGGGAACGCAGTAGTTTTCAGAAGTTCTGAGATTACTGGTAACAAAACAGACTCTAGAAATGCTGGTGCCACTCACAGAACTAGGTCTCTCTATCTCTCTCTCTATATGCTAGTCAGAGCATCTGCAATTTGGTTATTTCTTCATAAAATAGAAGACATGCATAGAACAGTTACAACAGGTGTCATAGTGTTTCAGAAATAAGAAATATCAGAATCATAAATCAGAGGCAAATATGCATTCTCTAATCCTAATTCTGAGTTCTAGTTTCTTCAAGAAAGCTCTGAACTGATTCATTCTCTACTTAAGCAGACATATGCATGAAATCTCAGAATATGTACAACATCAGAAACATGATATCTACATTGTATTTTGAGCATGAAAATCTGGTAATGCTTGAGTAATGGGGTGAAAGTCAGCAGAAACTTACCTTCCAGCTGAAAGAAGTTCTGTGAACTAGAGTTAACCTCAGCTCTGTGACGTTCTAGAAAGCTTCTCCACGTACTCAGTAGGTTAAAAGTTTTCAACTTCTGGAAATGGCAAGGAGGTGATGTTCTGATTTCCTTGAATGGATGTATGGAGAATGTATAGTAGTGTGAATATAGAAGCTATGGCAGTTTCCAATGTGTGGATCAGAAACTGTGTGAATGGTTTTTTAGTCAAGAAATATTTGAGAACAAATGGAAGCTTGAGTGCAAGGAATCAAAAGTTAACAGTTTTTGTGTGTTGTGTTTTCAGTTCTTGAAGCTCTCGGAATTTTGGCAGAGATTCAAGGCTTTTATTTCTCAAAATTTCCATCTCTTTTCAGTGGCCAAAGGTGTTCTATTTATAGGTAAAGTTTTGTGTGTTTGAAATGTCAAGTAGCGCCAACATCATATGTTAGACGCTGACTTGTTCTTGAAGCAAGTTAAAAAAGGTGTGATAGTTGACAGTTTTTAGCCTAGGCTGGATTAGCAAGCAGGGATTAAGGAAAAGTAAACCCACAAGCAAAAAGTAGCGTATATACTTAATTTTGTACAAAAGTATTTCTACGTTACACTTGGAGATATCCTTTGGACAAAGACTCAAAAGTGGTTATGAGCATTAATGAGCATTAAATGATGATGAGATTTGTCAAAATCAGGAATCCTATAAATGTGATATTTTGCATCATTGCTTAAATCTGGGCCAGAAGTTCCATTTCAGCGTAGTCCAAAACAACGCACCCAAATTCTGATCTTAGTATCCTATTGCCTTAGCAAGCTCTGAAGGATCCTCAGGTTTTCCAGCATGTTCTGAAAGAGCATTCAGACTTTCTATCATGCTTTATAATCTTCTTTGTTTTACTCTGGCAAACTCTGACTGAGCTTGCGTAGATGCTGAAGAGCCATGCTCTGACTGAAGACTATGTGCTGAACCAAGTTTACAACTTCTGACTGCCCTGCCTGAAGGTTGGCTCAGAAGTTCTGAAGTGTCATTTTTCTTAAATACTTAGAAAATCCCAAGTGTTTAGAAATTTGGTTTTTCCATAGCAATTTTGGCTTTTGAACTTTTAGATGAAACAAATTTCACATTTCAACATGTCTTGATGAAATATAATTTTGAGATTTGATTTTTTGATCCAAAAGTTAAAGTTTGACCTTTTAATGTGAAAATGACTATTTTTCCCTTGCATGAGACTTTCTTGAGAAATTTGTAATTCAAAGCTTGGGATTGGATGGAAGTAAATCTGAGGATCCAGAGTAATTTCTTGAAAAAGAAAGGGCAAATTTTGGGGTACAACATGCATCAACATCTATGATGCTGAAGTCTAATAGATGATGCTTTGAAGAGATGACTTTTTCACTTTCTCCTTCTCTTGAAGGATTTTTGTAATCAGGTATTTTAGTAGTGTTTCATGTATTTGATGGGCTCTTGTTAATTCAACATGGACAATTACTAATTCATCTTGAATGTAATAATATTTCATCTTCATGTTAATGATAAAATATACAATATCAAGGTTTGTAGAGAAGGGTCTTTCTAAGATGAAATTGTAGACACTTTTATAGGGGAGTACCAGAAATCGTATGTCTACCGTCCTTGCATCTTTTCCTTCTTCAAGAGTGACCACAAGCTCTATGTCGCCCCACGAGTAAATCCAAGAGCCACTGAATGCGTGCAGAATAATGTCTATGCAGGGTGATAAACTATCTATTTCTAAGCCCGACATCTCAAAGAGTTCGACTTACATGATATCACATGAGCTTCCCTCGTCAGCCATGATCCTTGACATATCACACTTGGCTATGATGGTTGTTATTACCAATGGAAATACTTCATTGAGAATACCACCTTACCTTTTCACTAAGATGATAAGAGATCATTTTCAATTTAATTAAAGATTCTTCGAACTTAGATCTAAACACACAATAATATTATTTGATTTGAAAAATTAATATATAAATTTATGCGCAAAAGATACAATAATAAACTCTATTTAATAATAGTTAACAAATTATATAATAAATAAGTCATGCATATCCTATTTTTTAGTGGATAGAGTAACTCGACTAGTATATAATAATTGAGTTATATAAATGTTATTTTTTAGTATGTTTATATATTAATGTAAATAAGTTATTCAACATTTATAAATCAATTTTTGTAAAAAAACATAATTATATTATCTTGTTTTTATTTATTTATTTTAGTTTTTTACCCATAAACATATATACATATAACACAACAAATGAGAAAAGCATATTATATTATTTAATTTATGATCATTTCCTAACAAAAATATTATATTATCTTATTTTTATCTATTTTTCAATATTTTTCCTAACAAAAATTGTTCTATGAAAGATTTAATCCACTCATTTTCCCCACCCTTTCAAGAAAACCAAACCAAACCTTTCCTTAGATTTTAGTTATAAAAAACAACAAAAAAAATCACATATATACATTCATTCATACATTTCGCTTTCGGAGAAACAAGTCCCTAACAAAAATAAGATTAAAAATAACAAGAAACAGTCTCTAACAAAATGAACATTATTTATTTATTGACAGAAAAATCACATATATACACATTCATTCATACATATAAGACAATAAATACGAAAAACATATTAAATTATTTAATTTACGATCATCGAACCTGAATAGTTGGCATATACCAAAAACAAATTCAAAACTCAGAAAACCACCGCTATAGCATGACTCATGCGCAAGCAAGTTGAAACCTCTCCCTCCAAATTATATATTTCCTCTTTCATCCTCACACTTCTTCTCACCACAACACAAACAAAAAAAAACTCCATTCTCTTTCTCTCTCTTTCTTTCTGTTTAAACTTCATATTTTCAAGATATGCTACAAGTAGAAACACTCGTTTCAGCCTGTGCCGGCGGATCTACTGATCGGAAAATCGCCTGCGAGTCACAAGCTGACGATCACAAAACGGATCCACCGGAGCATATTCCCGATTCTCCGCCAGAGTCATTTTTCCTCTCCAAAGATGAAGAAACCGAGTGGTTGGATCGTAACTTTGTTTACGAACGCAAAGAATCCACCAAAGGAAACTCAAATTCAGGAAACCTAAACCCTAACTCCACCTCCCACTCCAATTCCAACTCCAATACGAGCTCTCAACGTTTTGCGAATCTCAAATCTAAGACGTCGATGATCGGCTTGCCTAAGCCTCAGAAACCTTCCTTCATTGACGCTAAGAATCGTCGCAACCATAAACCTAGCAATATTAAACTGTTTCCGAAGCGGAGCGCCTCCGTCGGAAAATCATTCGCTGAACCTTCATCACCAAAGGTTTCCTGCATGGGAAGAGTCAGATCTAAACGCGGAAGAACAACATCCGCCGCCGCAGCCGCCGTGAAAGAAAAATCAGCGAGAAACGAGAGAAAACGCAGTTTCTTTGAAAGTTTACGCTCAATTTTCCGATCCGGTGGAAGAAATGAACCGGACCGGAGAACTGATCCTCCGGTGACGAACACGAACGGCATAGGTAATTCGAATTCAAAAGCGCGTGACAGCACGGCGAGCTTAAACGACGTGTCTTTTGTGGAGTCTGTATCGAGAAATAGCGTCTCGGAGAGTGAACCACCGAGTTTGGGTGGGATGAACCGGTTCAAGTCTGGGAGGCGATCTGATTCGTGGGGAGGAGACGATTCTGAAATCCACGTATCGCGATAACATTGGTTTTCGGTAACGGTTCTGTTACGTTACGCGACGGCTACAACGAAGTGGGGCCCATAGTCAGTGGAGTCAGTAAATGATAAACATCACGCGACTCGCGGGTCATTCGCGTGGGTCCAAACGTGTTTAAAAGTGAATGACGTGGCGCGTTGAATAACAATATGTGCGACTGTTATTGTTGGGAAATTTTCTTGCCAATTTTTTTATATTGTTATTAAATTTGCGAGCGACATGATTTGTTAATATACAACAGACAGTGTTTTTAATTGTGCAGTAGTTGGTTTTCAAATGGTAGTTTCAATAATCATATCTTTTTTGGTGGTTCAACTAACTTGTCCTTTTTAATTTAACAAAATCAAGCAAGGATATGATATTGTTTTATATTGTTTCTGAATTTTATCTACATGAAGGAAAAAGAGCTGAGCGTGTAGGACAAAGCTCTAAATGATTTAGAAATTGCACCGTTAAGAATCAACCAATATGTGTAGCACATACTTATATCTAGTTTTAAACAGTAGAGTCAATTTGAGTTCCCTGTTATACACATTAATTAAAAATGAGTAATTGTGTAAAATTGACAATTTTTTTATGCAAGACGGTTTTTTTCTTCATGATTTATGATGTTTCTTAATTTATCTTGTTTTCTTAGTTCCTAACTTACTATAATGAAAATGAAGACAATCAAGAGTTGAGTTAGTACACAAATTGTCTGAAAGCACAAAATTAAACCGTAAGAAGATATATTTTTTCAAATCGAACATATTTGTTAAATAACCAAAAAAATATATTTTAAATTCAAATTTGTTTATAGTATTTTTCAATTTTTTAGTTTTGGTCGATTTTAATTTCAATTTAATTTATTGACATTTGGTTTGATTCAATAATTCTTTGTACAATACATATTTGATAGATTAATCAAATATAATTGTTCGATTATTTTAATTTTATATCTAATTCGACCGTTTGTTTAGCATCTTATTGAGAACAAACATATGAGCGGCCACAACCATAATCACAAGATGTAGTTTTATTTGGGTGATCTCTACAATATTTCAGTATATGTTTTGTGATCACGAAATATTGAAATATTAAATTAGATTTGATTTGATTTGATTTGATTTAATATTTAAATGTAATTAAAGTTGTTTAACCCAAACTCAATTAGAATTATATATAAATAGTCATAGTATGTATAATTATTTGTACAATTCAATAATACAAATTCTTATTTCCTTTATTATTCTCTCTTTCTCTCCTCACTAAAAGTGCCTCACGCACTAATAAATTGGTATCCAGAGCTTCCGGTTATTGTTCTTGATAAAGTTTTCAAGAATTTCACGTCAGAGATCGTGTTTCTAGGGCAAGTAAATCAACTGTTGCAAAGATGACTAGTGATAAGGGCATTCTGAATTCTCTTCCAATGCTTGACGGTAAAAATCTGATCTGATACAAAAAATAGATGCAATCCTTGTTTGGCTTCCATGAAACCCTAGAAGTGGTTACCGACGATGTTCCTACGTTGGCTGCAAATGTAACCGACGAACAGAAAAAAGCCCACAACAAAGTCAAGAAGAAAGATTGCAAGGTTGCTTATTGCATTCAAACGGCTGTCGATACTGCTAATTTCGACAGAATCTCTCATGCTGAAACGACGAAGGAGACATGAGATATTCTGGTGAAGTATTACGAAGGAGGTGAGAAAGTCAAGGTTGTCAAATTACAAACCTTGCATCGACAATATGAGTTATTTTCGATGAGAGAAGATGAAAAAGTTACATAATATTTGTCGAAGGTTCAGAAACTTGTCCATCTCATGAAGGACTATGGTGAAACCATTACTGATAAGATGATAGTTGAGAAGGTAATGAGAACATTGACCTCTCACTTTGATCACGTTATCCTAGCTATTCAAGAATCCAACAATCTTGAAACCACTAAAGTGGAAGATTTGGTTGATTCATTGGAGGCGCATGCGATAAGGATTGTCGAAAGGAAAGGAGTCCAGGACTCGATACAAGCACTGCAAGCTCAGTCATGGAAAAAGGGTGGTGGTTCCAACAAATTCAAAGGCAAGTTCGACAAGACTCATGGCAAGAAGTCGGTCAAATCCCCAAAGAATAAGGTCGAAGATAGATCTTCTGAATCCTCGAAAAAGGGAGGAGGAAACTATCGAAAGGACAAAGAAGATAAGAGAGGTATGCAGTGTTATAACTGTGAAAAGTGGGGACACTTGGCCAAGAGTTGTTGGTACTGAAAAGACAAGGGATCGACATGCAACGATGAAGGAGCGAACCTTGCACGCCAAGATTCAGATGATTCTGAAGGTGGTTATGGCTGCAGTTGCAGATAACCATGTCGAATCTAAGATCTGGTTTCTTGACACAGGCTGCTCGAACTACATGACTGGTCGAAAGGAGTGGTTGGAAGACTTTGACGAGTCAAAGAAGAGCAAGGTAAAACTTGCTGATAATAGTCCGTTGCAAGCAGAAGGTACTGGCAACATAGTCTTTCAAATGAGTAATGGAGGAAAAGTTATGATCAAAGATGTGCTCTATATACCTAGAATGAAATGCAACTTGCTAAGTGTTGGATAACTAGTCGAAAAAGGTTTGGCAGTTGTCATGAAAGATGGAGTTTTAAAATTGTTCAACACCAAGAACAATTTGGTCTTAAAATCTCCATTGTCGAAGAATAGGACATTTAAGACTATGATCAGTTCGACAGAAGTTCAATGTTTGAAAACTGTTGTCGACCACAAGGGTAGTTGGTTGTGGCATTTGAGGTTTGGACATTTGAATTTTAGATCACTTAATCAACTGATTACTCGAGATATGGTTACTGGTATTCCAAGCCTTGAGATGCCTGAAAATTTTTGTGAAGGTTGTTTAGTGGGAAAGCAATCCAGAAATTCTTTCGTTTCGACTATGTCAATGAGATCATCCTGCATTCTCGAAGTGGTGCATTCAGATGTATATGGTCCATTCGAAGAACATAAAATTGGTGGAAACAGATATTTTGTTTCGTTTGTCGATGAGTTTAGTCGAAAGCTGTGGATCTATGTAATCAAACGAAAGGACAAAGTATTCAAAATCTTTAAGAGATTCAAGACACTTGTCGAAAACCAGAGTGAGAAGATGTTTGAAGAATTCTATGCAGAACATGGTGTTGATCATGAGTTAACTGCTCCTTATACACCTCAACATAATGGAATTGTTGAAAAAAGAAACAGAACCATATTAGATATGGCGAGATGCATGCTGAAGCAAAAAAATTTGCCAAAGTCTTTATGAGGAGAAGCTGTTTCGACTGCAGTTTATATTTTGAATAGGTGTCCTACTAAGATATTGAAGAACAAGGTTCTTGAAGAAGTATGGAGTGGCAAACGACCATCAGTGGTTCATTTGAAGGTGTTTGGATTTATGTGTTACAAGCATATTCCTGATGCAAGGAGAAGGAAGCTTGATGACAAGAGTGGACCTATGATTCTGGTAGGATATCATAAAAGCTGGTGCATACAGACTATTCAATCCAGTTAATGAGAAGATTAAGTTGAGTCGAGATATTGTGATTAATGAAAATTCTGCCTGAGATTGGAATTCTAGCAATTCAATTAATAAGCCATTAATGAAATTTGATTTCGACGAACAAACCGATGAAGTAGAGGTCGAAGGAATTATTGAGAAACCGATCGAAGTCGAAGAAGAAGCAGTTGTTGACACTCCTGACACAGTCGAAGTTGAAGAGGTTGTGGCTGAAACAAGCCAAAGAACTCAAAGAAATAGAGTTCTTCCAACAAGACTTCATGATTATAAAGTGGTGGGTGATGATGAAGTCACACCAGATGGAGAATTAGTTCATTTTGCTTTACTTGCAAGTGCTGAACCAATCAACTATAGCGAAACTTTGAAGATTAACAAGTGAGAGTTAGCTATGATCGAAGAGTTACAGGAAATCGAAAGAAAAAAAACATGGGAGTTAGTCGAATTGCCAACACATACAAAAGCTATCGAAGTAAAATGGGTGTTCAAGTTGAAACACAATGTAGATGGGTCAATAGCAAGACATAAAGCAATATTAGTAGCTCGAGGTTTTCTTCAAAGAGCAGGACTCGACTATTCTGAAGTATTTGCTCCAGTAGCAAGATTAGAGATTGTTCGACTAGTGGTAGCATTGGCATGCAATCAAGGCTGGTCGACATTCCATCTAGATATGAAATCAGCATTTCTGAATGGTCTTTTAGACGAAGAAGTTTATGTCACACAACATCCTGGGTTTGTGATTCAGAAGGAAGCGAGTAAAGTATATAGAGTGCACAAAACACTCTATGGCCTCAAGCAGAAACCTAGGGCATGGAACAAGAACATCGACTCATACTTAGTCGAATTGGGATTTGTCAAATGCAAATCAGAGTATGGTGTTTATGTTCAGGTTCTAGCACAAGATATAACAATTATTTGCTTGTATGTTGATGACTTGCTAGTAACTGGAAATAGTTTGGAGAACTTGTCAGAAGTTCAAAGAGCTGATGACAAAGGAATTTGAAATGTCAGATCTAGGAAAATTGTCTTATTTTCCAGGCATGAAATTTTAAATGTCGAAGCAAGGTATGGTGCTACATCAAAGAAAGTATGTCAAAGAGATACTCCAGAGATTCAGAATAGATGATTCGAATCCTGCATCCTCACCTGTCGAACCAAATGTGAAGTTGGAGAAGAATGGAGAGGAAGATAAAGTCGATGCAACTTTGTTCAAGCAAATTGTGGGATCTCTGAGGTATGTGTGCAACAGTCGACCTGATATAAGTTTCGCAGTCAGATTAGTAAGCAGATATATGGGTGAACCAAGAGTGTCACATATGAAGGCTGCAAGAAGAATCCTGAGATATTTGAAGGGTTCAATAAATTATGGAATACTATTTCGATGAGATTCTGAAGGCAAAGAAGCAATAGTTAATTGTTTTTCAAATGCTGATTGGTGTGGAGATAAGGAAGATCGAA